TCGTTCGCCTTGCGGGCTCGCCTTTCGCAGCCTTGGCGAGATCGGCCCTCACCACCTCCTTTTTTTTCCTTCTCCGCCAGTGAAAGACGAAGAGCTGCAAGGGAGTTGGTCAAACGCCCTTTTTCACCCTCCAGGCGCTCGTTCTCCGCTTTGAGCGCTTCAATCGCAGAATCTCGGGTCGAGACCTCGCGAGTGCAGCGCTCTTCCATAACAACGCCCGTGTGATACCCCTACGATCAGAAAGAAGAAGACCAAGGCGATCAGTAATAGAAATAAAACAAAACAAATGTAAAGGCGAGCATACACCAAAAAACATAAACTAGCGAAGATGAACCAAGCTCTGGTGTTCTAGATGAACACGGAGAAGCTGGAAGAAATCCATGTCCCTCAGACGTTGTTTGAAGCGATCTGTTCAAAGAAGAACAAACAAATACAAAACCATAAGGTGAGGAAAACAAATCTCACAATGAATACAACGACTACCGGAGACCACCTCCGACGTCTCCAAGAACCCCAAGATAGCACTCTTCCCAACCTGAGATAGAAGTGCCGGAGGAGCCTGCGTAGAAAAAAAAAACAACTTAGGTTAGAAGGCCGATCAGACATAGGCAACAACAGCAGACCAAGAGACGAGTAAGATAAAAACACTCCACACTCACTTGGACCCGGCACCATCGGCCCCGGCTGCCCCGGACCAAACCTGGCGCTGGCAGAAGCCGCTTGTTCCTCCGGAGTGAGGAGTCCAGCCATGACATCACCTGCAAAAGCAACATAGAATACATAAACAAATAAATCGGCGAAGATAGTAAACACAAAAGTGTGCGCCAAACCAACTTACTCATAAAAAGCCCAGGGTGGGCAGCCTGCTGAGCCCCTTGGGCAGAAGTTTCCGCCCTATCATGCGACGAAGGACCAGAAGGCCGACTCGGCAGAGGGCTCGAGGAAGACCGAGCCGCCGAGGCCTGCTCTACAGGGGACCACGATCTGGTGGAGGAGATAATGGCCTCCAACTATTGGGAAGACAAAGCAACACAATCCACCCTTCATGCCTAGAAACGCAGGCCGACCTCCGCGCCTCTTGGAACTTGAGGACATCCCACCAAAATCTGGGGCATAGGGATTGACGGAGGACGGCTTTGTCTCGAGGTTGAAGAAGCCACCATCGGTGACACCGGCAAGGATCGTGCGTGAGTACATGTCTCGGAGAGTCGTGGTAGGCACCATGTCGCGGCTCAAAGGAGTTTTGAGGAGCTCGAGATCCACTATGGGAGCGCGAGGTTCCGTGACGCGCGTCCCTTGATGGGAAGAAGAAGAAGACCTCGCCGTCTTCATCGCCGACGGAGGCAACGCCCACAAGAAGAGGAAGGGCGAAGACGTGGGCGCGGCGCCAATCAAGAAAAGTGAAGACCTTCTTCTTCACTTTGGTGATTGCAATGCGCGCCCTTCCTCTTCTTGGACTCGGCCTAGTGTAACGTTCTTTGCGGAGGTCTTTTTTCTTCTTGTCAAAGTGAAGCGGAAGCTCTTCCAGGAACCTCGCTCTGGTAGATGATCCCGAGCTCCTCAAAACTCGATTGAGATAGCGGCATGGTGCCTACCATGGCTCTCCGAGACGGTACTCACGCGTGCGGAAATTTTGCCGACCAACCCGATGGTGGCTTCTTCAACCTCGGAGACAAAGTGTCCTCCATCAGTGGCCCCAAAGACCGCCAAAGCGGGGAACGGAATCCCGGCCTGCCCAAAATTTTTGGCGGCACCGTTTCAAATTTGAAAGGGTGGAGGTCTTTCTTTGCTCAGGGGCCAATAGTTGGAGGCCATTGCTTTGTCTCCCCTCCACCAGATCGATGGGCCCCGAGAATAGCGGCACGCCAACGCAAGGCCCGTTCACAGGCTTCCCTCGTCGGAGACACCGCCTCCGGCGGATCCACGCGCATATGCGGCGCCATCACCTCCATCCTTGAGGTCAGTGGATATTCCCGGACCTCCGCACCATCCTCGGTGGTGCCACAGACCCCGTAGGTCTTCACATAGAACCACTGCTCAAGCCAGCCGTGGTCCCATTTGCCTTTCTGGCATAATGAAATCTCCAGGCGATCTACGCCTTGGTTCCTCTTCGACATGAAGGTGCAACTACCATACTGGTAGATCACCTCCACCTCTTTGCCTTCTCGCATCTCCTTCTTCTTCTTTGGCTGCTTTTGCAGCTCGTAATAAGCGCAGAAGGTGTCCACATCCGGCTCGGCGCCATAAGAGAGACACGCCCAGCAGAATTTGCTGAGCGTGAGGAAGGCCGTAGGAGTCAGATGATGGAGCTGGACGTTGAAAGTCTCCGGTACTCGGCGGAGGAAGGGGACGTAAGGAAGGCGGAGGCCGCAGGTGAAGAAGTCCCGAACACCACTGCATATCCCTCCTCCGGCTCCGGAACGGTCTGGCCGAGCGGAGGGATTTTTACCCTCGTAGAAGGAAAATACGATTCCTTCAACATCTCCGTGATCGCCTCCTCAGTAATGGAGGAGGGCCAAAATCCCATGACTTTATCGCCATGACTCCGGAATCCACGGCGATCAGGTCTCCGACAGACGCAGAAACACTCCCCAAATCCTCCTCCACCAGCTTTTCAAACTCCAACGCGGAGGCAGAGGCAAGCATGCACTCCTCAAAGCGTGCACCCCAGCCGATGGCCCTAACGCCGAGGAGGTGGTGGTAGGGTCCGAAAAAGGCGGGCCGGCGAGTTTGGGCGGAGGTGGAAAGAAAAGCCACCGCGACAGCAGCCTAAGCGCGAGACGCAAGCAGACAGATGGAACGCGCGAGGGCAGCGAAAGGCGAAAGCGAAGAGAGCAGGGAGCGATGTCTCAAATGCGATGAAAGCGAATGAGCAATGCGGGGGGGGGACCCCGCCACCAACAACACCCTTATATAGGCAGCGGGCAGGGGGTCCGGCTCCCGCCACACAACGGTCACCTCCGGAAAATTCGCCTGCCGATAACGGTCATCTCCGAAAAAGTCGCAAGGTATGCAATGGAAACTGACACGGCATAAACGGCCACGCCATAGGGCAGCGGCTAGATTGTCGCCCAACGGCTACTCTCAACGAGACCGGTGACCACCTTGAGCGGACCAGGGGGAAGTCAGCGGGCCTCGCTCGAAGACGCCGATGAATATGGCCTCCGCCCCTGCGGATGCCTTTGGCCAAGGCGTTTTGAGCTCACAGCACGCTCCGGCCAACCATGGTCTCAAAAGGGGGGAACTGTTGTAACACGGCTTTGGCGGGTGACGAAGGCCTCCGACAGCACGGTGTCGCTAAGGCGTCTTTGACCGTCTTGGGGCGGAGACCTGGCGCTGACTAAAGGAACTTTCCTGGCTATGCTCGTAGGGCACACGAGGCTCGGCGAGCTTGTGTAAATTCCGCCCGGGCCGTGCGCTAAGACCTCCGACCTATGCTCGGTGGGCCGCCGCCCGCTTGGCTCACGCAGGCGCCTCCGACCATGAGGGAGGAGGCCGCCCTCTCTGAACTAATTAAACAAACAATCTTGCCTAAGTGTGTGCAGTACTCAAGCCTTGGCGCCCGTGGGTCGTGAGTGCGCCAAAGATGCCCTCAGCATGCAGGCGGAGACCCACGGTTGGCGTCTCCGATCGGATCGGCGGAGACCCGCCAAAGCGACAGCGCGCCCCGATGGCGTAGGCGGCGTCGGGAACCACGGCCCCGTGGCGGCCGGCGGAGAGATATCGGACGATGTCTCCGACCGGACCGGCGGAGACCCGCCAAAGCGACGGCGCGCCCCAAAGACGGAGGCCAACATCGGGAACCCAAGTCTTTGGGCGAAGATCGGCACGGTGGGCGCCGCTTATGGAGGCCCGTTACTTGAGAGCGGCGTGGCGGGATTGCCCGCAAATGAGAGAGACCAGCGTCGAATATTCGAGAATATCTTGTATAGCGATTGAGGGGCATTGTAATAAATTCCGTCAAGAAGTAGTTGAGCCCTATAAATAGGGAACACTTGTAACCGTGCGAGTGGTTGGTACAAGAATTAATGAAACCCTAGTTTTGTGTGCTATTTCCTTACTCGCCCATCTATCGCGCTTGTTTCCCGTGCCTCCGCCGGGAGGAGCGGCGTAGCAGGCGAGAGACCTCTACTTCCTCCACACCGTCTGAGAGGCGGAGGCCTCTACCTCCTCCACACTGTCTGAGACCGCCAGTCTCAACAGACGCATTAGCTGCCTCCTTATGGGATGAGTTGATGAATCAATGCTACATGGCTAGGTCACTCCAACTCATTGTTATTACCGTATAGATAAAGAAATCCTATTGACTGTTATTACGGTATAGATAAAGAAATCCTATTGATTTGTTATCTTTTATATTAGGGTATATATAGATGTAGAAACATATAGATAGAGATTTGGACATCCCAAGAATAGCCGGATAGGTGTAAAGAAAACAATTGACTCGACAAGACAAACTCGAGCAGCTAAATCCATGAGAAAAGTAAATCAACAGCGTGACAGTCACGCGGAAAGTTACGGTACAATTTACGACACCGTTCAAGGGAACATCCATCATCAATTTATAAACATCATACACCAGTAACTGTCTTTTCTTTTGTTAACAATACATTTACACCGAAAATAACTACTTTTCTTTTGTTATCAGTAACAGTTACACTGAATCGTTTTCTCGTAGGGCATAACACCAGAAAACCCCTGCTACATCTAAAGCCGAATTTCAGGCATGCTAGATATACACTCACAAGAAGGAACAAATACAATGGATATGATTCTGAATTTAAGAAACTGGGAAGATTCCACTGTGCACACACCCCTTGTATCAAAGTATTTCGAGGTGTTTGGTTAAAGAAATAAAAAAAAGGAAAATATTGATCGTCCCATCTGTGCGACATCTATCTTTTGGCTTCGATGTGTCCTAGCCACAACTCGGGCAAGGTACACCATCTGTCATTATTCACCTGCTTGGAATCTGGCCTCTGAATGCAGCAGCTTAAGAGCTAACAGCTTGACTCCAGCTTCCGCTTCTTGATAGCAGGTGCTGGCTCAACAATGATCCCAGACTCAAGCTCCCTCTCGATCCAATCATTTTCACTCAAACCATCAAAAGTGATTGCCTGCTCATTTCTTGGTCCTACCACAATCCCTGACTCGAGCTCTCTCTCAATCCAGGCTTCATCACTTAGCTCATCTGAGATGGCATTGGCAGCACAATTGGCTTCTTGTTGTTTTGTAACAATCCCAGACTCGAGCTCTCTCTCAATCCAGGCTTCTTCACTGAGGCCATCTAAAGCAATGGCTTGCTCTTGGATCTCCCTCCGGCTCTTCCTCTTCATCAATAAACCTTTTATCCTGGCAACATCAATATTTCCAAGCTTTGCACTCAAAGTATCAGACTCCACCTTGGCCAGCAGCACGGATGGTGCATCATCTGTGGGGCCTGAAGCAGCATCAGCTAATCTCTGATCAGTGCACAAGCTATCCACATTAACACTGTCAGTACAGCAACAGGAGTTTGCAATCAATGGTTCCAGACACCAACTGCTTTCCTTGTCCACCTTGGCATCCAGTGATACCACATCAGGCAATGGGACACCATCACCATGCTGATTTATTGACACCTGGTTCAAGCTTTCGTCATTGACTCTGACATTGAAGTCATTACACTGGCTTGCATCCTGCTTCATATATTCAGCACTGCCCTCAGTGCCTACAGTAGCATCTAATGATGTCTGATTACTAGAAGGCATCATCCCATTGTCATGTTTGGTTATTAAGGCATGATCCAAGCTCTCTTCATCATGTGCTTTACAAGAAACATTTATATTAGCACAAGTATTCAACGAACTGCTGTCAGGACCTGAGACCCTACAATCACCCGTGTGACTGCTTATCAAGTATTGACAGGAATCCACCTGCATGTGGTCACTGGGCTCGCTAATATCAGGACTTGAGCTGCTTATTAACAAGCTTGATTGATTCAACACAGAGTCTGGGCTATTAGATAAGCTCAGTTTAGCTTCACATAAAGTGTCCTTTTGCTTAACTGGATTGGGACGAGCAGGCATCAATTTCTTCACAGCCGCAAGCTCCATCATTTGATGAATGACAGCTGCAGAAATACGTCTTCTTTTCATGTTTCAAAAAGCAAAGAGTACAATAATGATATGATCCACCTAATAGTCCACATACCTTCCAGAGGCTTTGGCGCAACATCAAATTGGTGCCACCAAACATGCGCTCCATGCAAAGGAAGCTTGATATTGTGAAGCTTTGCAGCCAGGTAAAGGGAACCAGCAGCTATGTACTGGGGTTTATACTGTAGGCACAATGTTGTTTTAAGCCTGAACATAAGTAGCAGAATTAATACATCCGATTTGCAATCTTAGAAATATTGGCATTGATAAATATTGAAATAGCTTATCATATACCAGTCATTCACAAAGTTCCATGCTACTTGTTTCACTTCTTTTTGATTGATGCCAAGATTTTGCATAGCATCAAAAAGTGGTCTATAAGGATGATGAATGTTGAAATCAAATCGAATAGTTGTAAGAAGCAATCTCTCTCCGATCAAAATGAGCACTTTCTGCTTCTCAAAAACATCCTGTATAATAGATGCTGATCAAACACTGAATGGACAACAACATAAAAGTCTCAAACATTATTTTAGTGGTACCTTCTGGCGGATCCTTTGAGCCGCAGCAGTGTCCCGCCTATACATTGTTTCATAGGCTACTCTAACTACATGGTCCAGGGGGCAAGGAGTATCTTCAACTTTCGACGCCAGAAATACACATACTGTTGCAACTGTCTGAAATAGGGTAATGACAAAAGGAACCATTAAAACCAGTAAAAGGAAATAAAAGTTCCAGAAGAACTACTGGTCCACAACGAGCATACCACAAATAGATCGTGCACTTCGAACAGAGTAAATATTATGAACACACATAATAAAACAGAAATTCCTACTAGTGTTCGACATAACTAGGGGCTGCATGATAACAGAGGGATAATTTCTGGAAAAGTGATCTGGTAAATATGAACTAAACAAATCTTACAAAACTAAGAAAAGAAATGCAGTAAAGTGAGCCATTTCTATAGAACTTACTGGTGAATATGTAATTTACAAGATGATCCGTCAAAGTATGTCAAACTTGCTTAAGTTGTAACAGTAAGTTGCAACCCAGTTGGCTGATCGGGGTTAAGTAACTTCAATAGGAAAATTCTGAATGCACTTTCCCAGTTATGACGAAGTATTGTACTTAATCACACTAGTATCATATCTGACAAACACAAACTTCCCAGGTAAACTGAAAACAACTCTTAACTACCTCAAAACTTTTTAGTATATTAAGAGAAGTGAATTAGGACTTAAAAGTTCTAGAAAAAAATGTATTCCAACAACATTGTAGCTGGTAGATTCCTTTAAAATGTCCAATCACGAAGTGATCTTGAGGTAGAGTAGCATCAAGATGAATCAGCAATTAGCATGTAATCAGAAAACTAAAATAGTTATAGTATTACAAGATTAAATACTTCAAATGATTTGAAGGATATTCTGTAATGTTAAGTTAGACATGGAGAACATATTGCCAACAAATGCTTGGCAATGAAACTCTGCACTCTTGTCACTTTTCATAGACATCAGCAACCATCACTGCCACAACAAAATAGTCTCTCACCTGCCATCCATTTTTGGCAAGGGACTGATGTAAATAGAAACGATGGCAAAGCATGACTGCTGTTGCTAGTGTCATCTGAGGTCTGTGGGGAAAAAAAAAAGATGTTACCACATATAGAAAATCTTACCAAAGTTGTCAAAATAATACAATCTGGTAGCAGAGTCAAACATATTGGTCGTATAACAAAAAAAAGCTTTGTCTTAGAGAAAAAAAAAGGAAGTCATTTATGTTCATGACAGATTGGGTCAATGTAAACAATAATGTTATGAGCCACAATATAAAGTAGTATAAACTAAGAACACCCTAGAATAAGGTTGAACAAAGTCAGTTTCACTTAAGAGAGTCGAAAGGAGTTTCATACAGCTTCAGCCTGATGCCAACATCCCGGATAAATGAACAATATAAATGCCGAATTTCTGACTCCTTGTTTTCAGTAATACCATCTTTCCTTGATGGAGAAAATTTCTCTAGTTCTTCCCTGGTGAAGTACCAAGAGTGCATGCATTCATGTGATGATTTCTCAAGGATCCTGGGTGCCCCATCCATCAGTATGTCTGAGACACCCTGCTGGATGGGCTCTCTGCAACCTCCTCTAAATCCAGATAAGGTTGAAGGAAGCTTAATTAGTTGTATCCTGGACATTGCAAGTTTTGCGAAGCAACCTGTAGAATTGACATATCTTTAGAACCAAATATCCACTGCTTTGCATTGATATACTGCTAGAGAAAAGCAAGAACATATAAATGTACAGACAAATAAAAAATAAAAATATATATTTATATAAGTAACGACTAAAACATGCATGTGGTACCAGATCTTGTCATGCATGTCCAGGTTTATTGTGTCTAGGTGCAGTCTTTAGTATTAGCAGATTTTCAGCTAGTAGTTTTGACGGAGAAAAAATAGGTCCCACCGAGATTTGAACTCGGGTTACTGGATTCGGAGTCCAATGTCCTGACCACTAGACCATGGGACCTTTGATTTTTTTTCAGCTAGTAGTTAAGGAGAATAATAGGCAATCATAGGAGTTATGACTACAGTAATTAGGAGGATATCATGGGCAGGTGTATCAGCTATATATATGAGAAAATGGTGATGGTTGAGAGAGACGGATCAACCAAGAGAAGGGAGAGGGAGCGATTTCCAAGTGTGTGTTTGTGATAAACACTGAAAAGGAGAGGGAGTATTTCCTAGTGTGTGTTTGCGATAAACACTGAAGAAAGGGAAGGAGTGATTTCCAACCGAGCTTATTACTTTGCCAGCATGCTATGAGCCTATGACTGTTCTCCAGGCCCTAGGCCATCAACAGTTTTTCATATTTCCTTTTTTCCAGTTGTGCAAGCAGCACCGTTTCCTCTCTCCTAACGTTGCAGGGGGGAATGAATGGCCATTGTCCTACAGGGTATAAAAATTATATTTTCTTTACTGGATTTGAGCATGCTGGAGAGAACCAGTTTCGCAACCTGACAAGTTTGTATTAGGGGAAGTCACCGCTTGAGAACGGTTGTAACCAGCTCATGGACCTGTTTCGTACAGCTTAAAATTATGGAGAAGCTAGCTTTTCTCCTGCTGCCCACAGCAGACTCTTAGTAGGGAAGCTCCGGCCCAAAAACTGTTTGGCAGTCTCTAGCACCCATGGTCGTTTCCACCGCCAGATCTTGGCTATGGAGACGGAGACGGCCAGATCTCACACTGAGATGGGTAGATATGGTGCTGGACCACCTTGGGGCAGCGGATTCAGGAGTTTGGATGCAGAGGAAAGGGTGACAGGCGGATGGGAGTGTCAGCGGATGGGAGCTTGAGTGCAGCCAGAGGGGAGCACGGTGCCGCTGCAGAGGAACTTGGCGACCTTGGGAGGTTGAAGGTGCTGGCCGCAACAGGGTGGAAGGGCGGTCGAGGCAAAGGGAAGTGGCACCCATGTGGAAGCGGGGGGAAGGGGGGTGAACTTCAGGGAAGCTATGCGTTTGGCTCCTTTATGGTTTGTTTTTTATGGGAAACAATTCAAACAGCACCCATACTGGTTGATAAGTCATGGATTTTATGGACTTCCACTGTTAAGTGAGCATAGGCCTGATCAACATGCTACAATCCACTCTATTTCATCACTAATAGAATCACGATGTGTTAAACTATGTCTGTGTGTGCTGGGTTGATGGGGTCGAGGGGGAGTTTTACGCCTGCCAAGTCTCTCTCTATTGTTGTATAAACAATTTGTTTCCGGTCGTCATTCATGAAAGGTCTTTATGGAATATTGTTGAAGTGGATGGTTACTAATAGAACATTCTGCTTCGCAAAATGGTGTCACCAGTTAGGTAATTCTCGTGGAACTATCTTGAAAACAAAGCTTGCAGCCTAGCCTGGGTATTTCAGACTCACTAACAACAATCCATGTTTGAGGTCGGAAATACTAAGAACATTCTGCAAGCCATGCATGCCCTCCACTCATGGTTCAGTAAACAGAACCGTAGTGTTTAAAGCTTTTCAGAGACAGCGAAGAAAAAATAATTTGAGAAACAAGACGTGCAGATATATTTCTGATTTACTGAGGCATTGTTTGGATAAAAATCAATCTCTCCCAATCCATATGGAGTGGATTGGAAAACGGACTAATTTTCCACCTCAACCCCTTCCAAAACGTATGGATTGAAGGGGATTGCTGAGTTTCCAAACAAGCCCTAAAGGTAAGTAAGTCAACTCATGAATCTCATAGCAATTGGAACTCTAATCTATTTAAGGCATCATTATAAGATGCAATACGAACACCGTCAAGCACACTTCTACTCCTGCTCTTTTGGTCGAATATCAATAGTTTGACTTCAAGCTCAGCTCGCACCATCCTCACATGAAAAAATTACTACGATGATTCAGGTAGGTAAAACAGGTTGATTCAGCAGGTACAAGATCGAGCTTATGCCGAGCAACAAGGTGGAGTAATAGCACTAAAAGCTTTGAGAAGACAAAATTTGCAATTATTTAGATACAACAAACAGCAGCCTAACTTCCACCAAATTCACCCTGTTAAGGGGGACAATTTCTATTTCTACTCATGCACCTTATATACAGAAATAAAAAATTAGCGATCTTAAAGGACATGGGTGTACATGTAGACCCGATTTTTTTGCAAAAAGGAAAAAAAATCGAAGTTTGCAGGCATAATCATGTATACTACACTTATAATTGGATCAGATCAGATCCAAATAGAAATAGCTTGGGTTTGGGAGCTCGGTTTCGCGCAGCAGGAACGGAAGAGAAGGGGTGGGAAGAGAAGGGGCGGAAAGAGAAGGGGTGGGCGTACCTGGTGGGTGCTCGTCGCCGGTGAAGGTCCCGAAGATAGAGGGCTGGGCACGGCGGCGGCGGCGACCGCCAAGTCGTCGCCACCAGAAACAGATAGAGCGCACGCGAGGGGCACGGGAGAACGACGCGAGAGAACAGAAGCAAGGCCGCAGGGTAGAAGGTTTTGGGCCATGCATTAATCTCTGGGTAATAAGGGTAAGTACGTTTTCCCGAGTCTAAACCAAGTAGTTTCCGAAAAAAAAAAAGCCGATATTTTCTGAAACCAAGTCTAACCGGGCGTCCGTCAAATTTTTCCCAAGCCCATTCCACGGACGGGTTATAGGTGTTGGGTCCAAAAACTTGTCCAACCAAATTTAAGGTATATCTATAAAATCTTGTTATTGATGGGTTCGTTACCAAAAAATTGACACCAATTTTTATCACTAAATGGCAAAACCACTAGAAACTTCTTCAATCTTATAAGAGGGGGGAAATGCTCACTATTGTGTCATGGCCACTCAACCAATTCCATCCCTACATTTTTACGCTAACTTTGGCAAGCCTTGATTTTGGCTTACCATCATTTTGATTGGGCAAGTTTTGAAACCCAACCAAGAAGGCTCATAGTGTCTCAAATTGAGTTTGATTTTTCATATTGTGTTAGAGTTTGTTTTTTTCTAAATCAGGTTTGGAATCAAAACTTATGGACATGTCTAACCTAATGGTTATTATGGGTCAAAGAAAATTGTTGATTCAATTAGCATGTATTTAGTTCAAGATGATAGAGGATGGGATGGGCGAGTACATTTTTCGTGGTGTTTGGTTCGGGGGCAATAGAGGACGAGACGGTTCCAAAGTAGAATATACCCTCATATGTATCCTTCGTGATCCCTATGAATCGAGGGGATGGAGAGGGAGGAGTCGTTCGCGTGAGCGCGCGGGGGAGGAGAGAAGGGCACATCTCGAGCCAGTCAAGCCCGTGGAGACGAGGACAACAATGGCGAGCTCTGCACCGGTCGCACATGGATAGTCGAGGGTGGCGATTGCGCAGAGGCAAGGGTGCCAGCATTCGAGGCCCGCACCATGCGTAGACCTTAGAGCGGCGGCGCGCGTGCTATTGAGAGCCGAGGGTGGCAGACATGAGGAGGGTTAGGGCACTGGCGTCCGAGCCATGCACCAAACATGGCCCCGAAGGCAGCGGCGCCGCAGGGGTGATGACTTCGACCGTGGTCTTGGATGGAAAATGAACCAAACGAGGAGAGAGATGAAAAAACGGAGAAATAATAGAGACTAATAGGTGGAGCCCTAGCCCCACGTGCATGGTGTGTGATCTAAATTTTCGGGTTCATAAACTAAATAAATAGATAATAAGAACCATTCCACCCGCGTCCAAACAAAAATCATTGGATTGTCCCATTCTTAGAAATTGAGTTGAGTCCATCTCATTGCACCACGTCTCCGACCTAAAGACACGCTTAATGCATTAGTTGGTCAGTTTAGACTATTTTTTTTCAAGCGGGTTAGTTAATGAGGTGACTAATCTCTTTGCTTTTGAAAATAGTGTCTTGTGTAGTTTTCATTTCTTTTCGTTATATAAAACGATATACTACTTAATTTTGACATTTACTACCTTCCTTATTAATGTAGGCATGGCAAAACAAGCTTTGGCTCAAGCGCACTATGATGGCAGGTTAAGCTCCCCCCTGCGCCTCTTGTTAGATATAATCTAGACAGCAAAATGCAAACCTAAAAAAGTTTGAGTCAGTCTGATGCTATTATTTAAATTATTTTACACTGTAGAAGTAGGTAGACATTTGATCTGATCTAAATAGAGCGTCCAACCCCGGTTGTTCTTTCATGACTATAATTATCCGTGATCGATAATTGGTGATCTACATGAATATATTCTAGTGCGTCGCTATGGTTTAAAAATTAAGATATAGCATAGTTAGCTTGGTGAAGCTATTGCAACATAGCACCACATCTGTAATTGGCCATGTATATACGAAGAAAAGATTAAAAAAAGACTCGTAAATATGCATCTAGGCCTTGGGTTTTTGAGTAAGGCCCTGTTCGCTTCGTCGAAAAGCTAGGCTAAAAAGTAAAGTATTGTTCGCTGATTTGATGGCTGATAAGTTCAAGCGAACATAACCTAAATGACAAGGTTATTAATAGAGTAATGATTTAATTGAGATGAACTGCATGTTGAAATATACCAATGACCTCACCTCTAAAATTATTTGGACATTTAAAGTTATTACCTAGAGTTTAATCTTTCATATTTTAAATTTAAGTACCAGACATGCCATGTTATGAGCTACCAAAGAAATATATAAATTGTTTATCATCGTAGGTGCCTCAGTTCAAATGGATATCTCAGTAGACCCACCAACTCTGCTTCACTAAAACAGGCCGGGCTGTCCGGGTTTCCAATGGACTGTGCGGCGGTGCTAGGTGCCTCGGGGGTCGAATGGTTTCCGAGACTAAAGTTTAGACCATGTCACATCAGATATTTATATGTTAATTAAGAGGATTAGACATGAGTTAATTATAAAACTAATTATACAGACGGAGACTAATTTACGAGATGAATCTATTAAGCATAATTAATCCATCATTAGCGCATATTTACTGTAGCATCACGCTGTCAAATCATAGACTAATTAAGCTTAATAGATTCATCTCGTAAAATAGTCTTAATCTGTATAATTAGTTTTATAATTAGTCTATATTTAATACTCTAAATTAGTATCAAACATCTGATTTAATAGAGACTAAAATTTAGTCCTCGGAACCAAAGACCCCCTAGTCCCATTAGCTATTGCCTATTGTTGGTCTATTGGCCAAAATATCTAGTTTCATGCTACATGATCTGACAGATTTGCTCAGTGTGGGAATTGGAAAACTTCTTTGATTCTTTCCCTAGAATGTTTGTCTTCTACAGAGAGTGTTTAGGCCGTGAACGTGATGGAATGCAGTAGCGCTGGATCTTTCCTTCGCGTCCGTGGCCCGACGGCTCCGCTAGCAGTTACGTGTTCGCGCGCGAGCCACCACTACCGGTCTGTCCCGTTCCCCACCTCACCCTCTTCTTCCCCATACTCGGGCTGCGGCCACTGCTCCTCGCCTTAAACCCGTCGCCGCCATGACTCCCGCATCCACCTCCCCTCTCGCCGCCGCCGCCGTCGTACCCACGAACCTATCTTCCTTCTCTCGCTGCCCCCCTCGCCGCCTCCCGCGCGTCTCCTGCCTGGCGGCGCCCGAACGCGGGGGCGGCAATGCGTCGAACGCCCCGCCGGCACCGCCGCAGCAGCCGAGGTGGCGCGCCGCGGTATCTGCCGCGCTCGCGGCGGCCGTGGTCGCCGCCTCGATGCCAGCTTACGCGGACCTGAACAGGTTCGAGGCCGAGCAGCGGGGAGAGTTTGGCATTGGCTCCGCCGCGCAGTTCGGCTCGGCCGACCTCAAGTACACCACTGCTTCTTTCGCATCTCTTCTCCGTGATCGTTTTGTTGTTACATTGCATTGCTGATTTGCTTTTTTTTTGTGTGTGGTCTTACAGGAAGGCTGTCCACGTTAACGAGAACTTCAGGTGGGTTCTTAATTTCACTTGTTCCGAGTTAGAAACCCCCAATTATTCATGCCAAGTCTGATAGATTAAAGGAATAGTTAGTAGAAAGAAATCCTACTTTTCAACTTTGTGCCAGCTTTGGCAGATCTGATGTGATTTTGGCCCTCTGGAAGTTTAGGTATTAGCACGCTGCATAGAGCTCTACCACTTCCCACTTCCCAGATATAACGATGATAATGTATTATTACCAAAATTGATCAGCATTGTGTCCGCATGCATTTTCTGAGCATTGCTTTTATTTAGGTCATATATACTAGATGGAAATAGCTTGTTGTATAAAATGTTTATTTATGGAGAAAATGTGTAACAAATATGCTACAGAATTACTGTAAGTACACTGTTGTCAAACAAAATTTTAGCAGAGTAAGAGTAATTATCTGTGATACGGATAAGGATAACTAAAGAAATTGCTATTCCTCATCTCTCCTTTACCAAATACATCATTTATTGATGTAGGCGGGCCAACTTCACATCCGCTGATATGAGAGAGTCGGATTTCAGTGGTTCCACATTCAATGGTGCCTATCTTGAAAAGGCTGTTGCTTATAAGGCAAATTTCACGGGTGAGTGAAACAACAGCTTTTTATTATGCAGATAGGTTATTTTTTTTTTTCTTGAACACGCGGGAGAGTTGCGTATTATTATATTAAGAAGAAAAAATGGGAAAAGAGCCCATACAAAGCCACACCAATGCACACAACTAGGAATTATTATCATACATGATGTGTGTGCTCGTACATGATGTACGTGCTTGATGCACATAACTACATTTGTTTAGTGGTCAGTGGTCCTCTAATGTACCTTACTCTGGAAGCTACTCAACCAGAGATCATAGAGAACCTCTTATCTGCTACTTGCTTCACCACCATCTCAGTATAAAATCAGAACAGTTTTTTTTTTCCTTTTCTGGTTTCAAGTTGACTCATCATGCTATTTATATCAAAGTTTGGTAGTAGTTCTGGTCTTCTAGCATTCACTGAAACCTGGCTATGTGGGATTCTCATATCTGTTGTTCCAGCACTTTATCTAGAATTGTAGAAACTTCCCTTATTTTGAGCAAAAACCAAAGTAAATTACAGAACAGGAACTCTATATCTGAATCTTTTTATCCTGTTGATGTGATTTTTACCACATTTGAGTATATGGCCTTGGAACATTTTAGAATATTCATGCAGTTATTTTGTGTTTTTTTACCAGTGCTGTTGTTTACCTTTTCAGGTGCCGATTTGAGCGATACATTAATGGACCGCATGGTAAAAACTGAATTAGTACTTTTAGGTTTTAGCTTTGTCATATTGTTGAACCATACCAATATTTTTTTTCCCAAATGCATGTGATTTCTTATGTTTATTGAAATATATGGTTCATATTTCCAGTGATTATAGGCATAGATGGAGCATACGCAATTACACATCTAAATTCTAGGTCAGCTTTAAAGGTTGTCCCTATGTTTTCTCCTTTCTGTAGTAATAAATTATGATTGCGATAATCCTTCTTGATTTTTGAGGTTAATAAAAGATATCACAATAGTACCCAAGTTGATTAACTGTTGGAATGTTATCTCCACTTTTAGTTCTAGAAATAATATCCATAGCATTGGCTTCCTCTGTTTCTAGTATCCTTTCAGCAAATCTTTGAATAGCATTGATAAACCTTTGGCATTTGGTACATATTACAAGTACATCTAACTGAGACTAATCAACAAGACTGATACACTGCATCTTCTTCTGGGCCATGGATTCATATACATCTAGAGGCTCATTTTAAAAGAAAAAAGATAAAAAGAAAGGAAGAAGGAAAAAATCATCTGTTGTGCAGTGGAAAGTCAGTGGAAATTTAGGAGCAGCACTACTCATTTACTCTATGTTCAACACATCGATACATATACCACTTTCTGAAACAATGTGCACTTGGTCATATTTTGAAGAATTATCTGCATTACTAGAATAAAAATATAGAAATTTGTAAGTATGTTATTGGCCCTATAGTTATATATGGCCAAGTTCAAAACATATCCTCGCTTAAGGAAAATTCTACTTCCTTTTGGGCATGCAATATCTCACTCACATTCTCCCATACTACCCTCACATTTGTTTAAGTACAGGATTTTAAGATTTGGGTGTTAAAGATAATTTAATGAAGCATAAGTCTTGCTCAGAGTAGCTGTACTTTTTTCAAAAAGCTATATGTAGCAGAGTTACCCACATAAATATATTAAAAAATGGCCATGGAGAGGGATTTCCCTTTGGCTTTTCTTGAGAGAGGAGTACCAAGTACCCAACCTTTAGGTACTCATGCAACCTTCGAGCACCTGGGTTCGAACCTGGGTGGGGGACCTCTCAGCTGTGGGGGCTCCACCGACGAAGCTATTGTTCGGTTCTCCCCACAGTTATATTAGAGATGCAAGGTTATTTTACAAATAGCCTAGTGGCAAGACATTCTTTTTTTCTTTAAAAAAAACAACTACTGGAAGAGAAACCGAACGAAGATTAAGAAAGATAAATAAGCAGAAGCAGTAGGCAAAATCCTTCTCTTTATATATTCTGACAATCATATGCTCCAAAGTTCTCCCATGGAGGCATTTTGCTCTAGCCAAGGTCCAAGTGATGCTTCCTCCATGAGAACAAACTTAGATTTGCATTGTGGTGGCCAATTTGTTTGGAAGATGCACTTGTTTCTTTCTTTTCTTTACTACCAAACCTTTTGAGCCATTAGTCCATTATTTGGCAGCTAACCCAGTGTCCGGTGGATGGGAGAGAGTTGCTAGCAGACCTGTTCATCCACGGTTTTGGGGGGTTTGCTGGTTTCTGAAACTAACCTGTCGATGGACTATCTTAGCTGAATCAATCTGGTTTCTATGGTTTTATGGCTGATAATTGCTGGGTTGGTTTCATGTGGGTTTACTGGTTTGGCTGGGTTAAACTGTATGCATACACCAGAAGCATCTAGATGAAGCTCACGTCCAGCAAGGGGCACTTGAACTTCTCTGATTATTCCTCTATACAGCTGCTGTTGGCCATAGAGAGGAGTGGCATCATGGATGCCACCGCCAAACACGGGAAAGAGTCCCACCGTATATACCTTCTCTGGCTGAAGCCTCAAACAGGTAACGCCACACCACCATGGTTGCTGCGTCCGTTTGGGGTGAGGAGTGGTGCTATTGGTGTAGCTATCAAGAACCAGAGTGATCTGACAAGAAAAGAACAGCCAGAGCTGAAGAACATAGAGGGGAATGCCTTAACTGGCAGATAACTCAACTGATTGAAGGATTCAAGTACAGGACAGCTGCTTTACTTGACTACTGCTACTACAGAACTAGGGTTCTTCGATTAAGCCTTACAGCCAACACTCGCGCTCCTTACAGACTGAGGCATCAATGACTACATTAATTAAAAGATAAACACTTTTAACTTCTGAAAAATATGAAAGCAAACATAGTTTGGTGCTAAGCAAAGCAAGTGACTCAGTTGAAGCAAATTCGTTGGATAGCAATCAAATGCTGAAGAACGGAGTCTGTGATCTTGAGCATTCAGCACTGGCTTCCTTTCTGACGAAACTGAATGAACTAGCTGACAGTAGCTAATGGCAATATCAGGACTCGAGCTCAGTTAGCAAAACGGTGCTGGACAGCAGATTAAACGGGGGCTTGCACATCCCAAGCGTTGTGTTCTTTGTGATCAAGAGGAGGAGACGGTGCAACATATTCTTACCAGCTGTGTTTTTTGCTAGGCAATTGTGGCATAATTTGCTGGCCCCTATTGGCCTCCCCCAACACACTTCACCTGGGCGCCATGATGAATGCTTCGCTGTTTGGTGGAGGAAAGGTAGCCAAAAATTGGAAGGCCTTAAAGAAAAGGGTTCAACAGTGTTGTCATTTTGGGAGCTTGGACCCTATGAAATCTCAGAAATGGATGTGTTTTTTTATTGTGCCTCTCCATCATTGCCAGCAGCCCAACACTTTTTTTAATGAAGAGCTGCAGATATGGTGTTTTGCTGGAGCTTGGAAATTTCAGGATTTATTCTTTGGTCGTGTGGAGGTTATAGAGTAAACTGTTATCATGGTCGGGCGTGCTCTTGTATTTGTATGGGGTGATAAGCCTATGCATTTTTTTATTGCAACATTCTTTTATCTCCTAGTGGAGGTAAGTATGTTGCCTTGTACGGGGTTTCTTCCCCCCTCCTTTCTCTTTAATATAAAAGATAAGGGGAAAGGACTCAAGCTCTGTCATGGAAATCAGATCAGTTAGGTCCTTTGTGGATGCTACATCAAGCCAAGACGGTAACCTCCGGCATGGATGACAGCCTTGGCCCTGCACAAATGGCCCTGTGTCGTCTATCTGGACCTCCCTGCTTAGCATGGATACACTACACTGTACTCTCTGCTTCCTCATCTGGATTTGCACCACTGTTGATGACTCTCACCTGCAGCGATGTCCCCACTTCTTGTCGACGATTGCACGTTTGTAGTTTGCCTGGTGGTGTTTGAGCTCAACTAGTGTCTCTCACTCTTCCGCCGTTTGCTGCACGTCAACTGCATTCGTCACGGTATACAGATGTGACTGACGCCATGAGCGCATGCACAGATTGGTATGGTTGAGCAGGTATGCCGGTTTCTAACCCATGTCGAACCTAACCAGTGCTCGCACATATGGATTTCAAACCAGAAAACCAACTAACCCGTGTAACTGCTTCTACTGGTCCTGTCTGGTTTGGATTGGCAAGTTGAATGGTTTAAGACCAAACTGTGAACAGGGCTAGTTGTCAGGAAGCAGTTATTGACTACTGTTGCTGACCAGCGAGCAGTTTCTGTGTGTTTCCGAGCTCCAGTTACACATTGGGGTCAACTATTAGTTTGAGAATCCTCTTCTATTAGCCATTGGGCCATCTAAATTATGTTTATGTAAGGCAAGCTGGATGAAGAACGGGGTGTAGTTATATTTGTTCTGATGTACTTAATGCTTGCTTTGTTAGACTGGCAAATGTCATTTCATTATTTAAATTGCAATCCATGGCAACTAGTGAATTCTCCCGTTATGCATTTGATATAGGAAGTTGTCAATATACATAATTCCCTGACAGATTTGCAGTTCAAACAAGTTTTGAGACATTGTATGTTTGTGGCAGGTTCTAAATGAAGCTAACCTTACAAATGCTGTCCTTGTACGGTCAGTCCTAACACGTAGTGATCTTGGAGGAGCGATCATTGAAGGTGCTGACTTCAGTGATGCTGTTATTGACCTACCACAGAAACAGGTACATAGTTACTTAAATGACAATGCCATCACATATCGATGCTGTTATTCTTGGAGATTGTCAGGTTCTATGGTCAATGCTTATGTGATCTCTTGATTTCTGATATTATTTTTGCAGGCATTATGCAAATATGCAAGTGGGACCAACCCCATAACAGGGGTAAGCACCCGAAAAAGCCTAGGATGTGGCAATAGCCGTCGAAATGCATATGGGAGCCCTTCATCCCCTCTATTGAGTGCCCCGCCACAAAAGCTTCTTGACCGAGATGGTTTCTGTGATCCAGCTACTGGTATGTGCGATGCAAACTGAGAGAGGATTGATCCAACATGGAAACTGGTGACTAGATGGTGTACATTACATTGGAGATTGAGTAAGAGCAGAATAGTGCAGAGAAACCAGTCGTTTTTCTTCTCGTCTTGCAATTGTTGTAACATTGCAACGGAATCAGGTAAATTCAGGATGTAGATGAGATATGGGCGTTGAGTATCGTTGACGAAATCTGATCGGCAGTCTACCGAGGGGTATGCCCATAATAGTAGATGAATCGGTGAAGGTGCGCGAGATACGAACTAGATGGTAATACAAGCATCGAGACATAAGATTTAAACAGGTTCGACCGTCAGTACGACGTAATACCTACATCCCATGTTCCGATGTATTGTATTGAGATATGTGGAGATGTCCACTACGGGATCTCTGCCTCTCCTTATATACTCTGGAAGAGTAGAGTTACAAAAAAAATATCATATTTGATATTATACAGTAAATCACATCTTCTTATAACCTTGCGGTGTACGCATTATCTTGTGGGCTGGGCAACCTTTGGGGCGTGGCCCATGTCTATCTTGTGGGTACCGGGGGTATATCCCCAACAGCTAGTCTCCGAGTGCCTTGTTTTCTTTGAGCAACGCCATCTTGAGCTTGTTTGAGCTGTCCAACTTGCTGTTGATCACCAGAGATAGGCTTCCGATCGGTTTAACTGTGAGCCGAGCTGTTGAAACAAGCATTCGAGCTGTTAGCCAGGTGTTTGAGCAGCTGAAAACAGCGTCCGAGCAGTTGAAGCAGATGTCCGAGTAGTTCAACTCGGAGCTAGGCTCGGACTTACTCGAGTAAAGTTTGCCAGAATGATGTAAGGGGCTTAACATAAAAATTGAAAATTCTCCACCTTAGGCGAAGTGTAGCCACTTAAACTCCTTAGCCAATAAAAAGGTAAATCAGAAAAAAGTACTACATTCACCGCTAGGTGAAATATAGCCACTTAGTCCCTAAGCCTGCTAGAAGATTAAAAAAATAAATCTTATAGCAGGGTCAAAGAATTTTAATGAAAGCTTGCCAACGTCATTTGTCATGTACTTATCAAGACCCCGAACGTACTACCCAAGATCAACACCCTGATCCGAACAGCATGGAGCAACTTGATAGCACACCGATGAGACGTAGCAAAATCCAAATGCCAAGGAAGTCTCCAGCTTAGCTGGCGACTCTTGCACGAAGAATCCAAGGGCCGAGGAGTCCCCAGCATAGCTGGCAAGTCCTCAACATAGCTGTCGATGAAGCCGAAGCGACGAGCAATATGACAACGGGTTGGTGATGAGCGCCGAGCAGTCCAACCAACTGATTGGCGGTTAAGTGAATGCCTGAGCAGAAGTGAGCGTTGAACCGTCCGACCAACTGGTCGGCGATGAAATCCATGAGCCGCTTGACTATTTTTACAAATTGTCAAGTCAGTTGCTAAAGCTCCTTAGCTTCAGCTTTCAGCTAGCTACCTTCACTATGGGAGAGGCAAAATTCCCCGAGTGTCGCAGGCTTCCCCGAGTGTTAAAAATCGGGCACTTGACAAAGCCAATCTTCTCCGAGTGTTGCACTCGGAGAAGAATAGCACTCGAGGAAGAGAGGCTTTGCCGAGTGCCGCAGAGTGCACTCGGTAAAGAGCGGCACTCGGCAAAGGCCCTCTTCCCCGAGTGCAACACTCGGGGAAGAGCGGCACTCGGCAAAGAAAAATGTTACTTGACGGCCCAGCCCGCCCACGCCGTTAAAACTAAAAAAATTGCTTTGCCGAGTGTCGCACCCTGTCACTCGGCAAAGGGCCTCTTTGCCGAGTGCCAGGGAAGGCACTCGGGGAAGAAAATTTTAAAATTTGAATTTTTCAAAAGACCTTGGATGGAAAAACTTCTTAAATGAAAATTGTAGATCTCCAAAAGTTATGAAACTACGTAGTTGACAACTTTTTGATTTGAAATCATCTTATCATGCAAAACTACGTTTGAATCTCTCAAATTATGCAAAACTACGTTTGAATCTCTCAAATTTGAAATTCGAATTTTTCAAACGACCTCGGATGGAAAAACTTCCTAAATGAAAATTGTATATCTCGAAAAGTTATGAAACTTTGTAGTTTACCACTTTTTTATTTGAATTCGTTTATGGCCTCAAACAAGCAATTTACTCTCGATTTAGTATAATATATGAGGATAGATAACGGAATCTAGACACAATGATAGTGTAGTGTAGTGGTAGAGCAACAGACACGTGAGGGAGAGTCGTGAGTTCGAATCCCGCCGGCCACGTTAGCCGCGAATTTTGCGAAAAAAATGCAGCGACTTCAATGGAGGTGGTGGCGGCCTCCCCCGAATTTTTTTTGGGTTTTTTTGCTATTATTTTTGGGGTTTTTTTGTATTTTTTTTTGCCGAGTGTTGCACTCGGGGAAGAAAAAAAAGAAAACGGCGTCGGCCGTCGGCCAACGGCGTCAAATCTTTCCCGAGTGCCAGCACGGCAATCGGCAAAGCCTTCTCCGAGTGCACGATTTTCGGCACTCGGGAAAGACGCCTTTGCCGGATGAGGATTAGCCGGAAGTCTTCCCCGAGTATTACACTCAGGGAAGCCTTCCCCGAGTGCAACTGGCACTCGGGGAAGCCACTGGCTGTTATAGTGCTTATTAACACCAGGTCTTGACCTGATGTCAATAACATATATAACCACTTTGGTTACATGTTTATTATGCATACTAGCAGGCAAACGACGCTGTGAGGGAGGAAAAAAAAATAGGGGCGGTACTGTTCCGTACTGGGTCGGGTAATGTTCATCTGATCAGTTACTGTTCATCAACGGGAAGAACAGGGCGGTATTGTTCCTTATCGGGTTGGGACTATTCAATGGCTGATGAACAGTAATGGCGATGTGACACCCTCAAATTGAAAGTTCTTACTGGCAGGTAACCCCGCGCGAAAAAAAGGAAAAAACGAAAAGGGTGGCACTGTTCCTTAGCAGGTCGGTACTGTTCATCGTGATCCGTTACTGTTCGTATGCAGTGATCTGTGAGGCGCGCCGGATGAACAGTACTGCGACGTGACCCCTCAAACTTATATTGTTTTATAGATATAGATATGTATATTTTCATGTGCCATGACACGCATTGCATGCTATATATTTGTACACTAACTCATGTTTGGGAGGCATATATTGTATGGTCACTTTCGTTTCTTTAAAATAGTGTTTTTCTCTCACAACAAATCAGTCAGAACAGTGTTTGGGTTTGTTTTTTCAGCGAAGCGAATGAGACCTCTATATATATATATATATATATATATATATATATATATATATATATATATATATTGTATAGGGCATCCAATGGATTCGTGTACGTTCTGCAGTAGCTATTTCCACATGTTGGCCTCGCCGCCAGCAGAGGCAGATGTGGAGGCGTAGTCCAGTGCTTCTTCCGGTTGCTTGTTCTCAGCCTGAAACACCTGCGCCGGACTGGGGTAACCGGCCTCTTTCGCTGTGCCATCGCCGTGGCTGAAGAGCTGAGATGCGACGAACTTGTCGAGCACTCTCCAATCAGTGACCGAGTCGTCCATGTAAGCGGCCTCCATCAGGGGCGGTTGTTGCGCTGCGTACCCAGAGGCCTCGTCGTCGGGGGACTGGAGGCTGCAGCTGCCTTGGGCGGCAATGTAGGCGGGAGGAGGCTTGGGGCTCTCCAACTGAGGGAGCTGCTGCAAGAAGGTGTCTTGGCTGGGCAGAAGGTGGTGGTACTCCAGCTCCGGCTTGCAGTGGTAGAGCTGCTGCTGGCCGCCGCTGTACACCTCCGCTGCCGGATGGTGGTGGTGCATCAGCTGCCTCGGCGAACTAATGAGGTCCGGCATGAACCAGCCGGCGACGTGGTCGTCGAACCACGGCGCGCCGTCGGCCATCCTCTGCACGGTCGCCACTCGCTTCTTGAACACCCTGCAGACTACCCATCCTTCCTCCTGAACCACCCACGATTCGTGCGTGCACGGGCAAGCAGAAGCAAATGCTGTCAGCTCAGCTGAATGACATGCTCGATCACATTCACATCGACGATTTGGGTGTTACGTTCAGCTAGACTGACAGGCAGGCAGGCTTACGTACAGGAGCGGTCCCGTTCTCGGTGGTCTCGAGGCGGTACTCGTGCATGATCCAGTCGGACTTCTGGCCGTTGGGCGCGCGGCCCCTGTAGAAGACGAGCGTCTTCCTCATCCCGACGAGGCAGCTCTTGGTGTAGATGGGCTTGTCTCGCCCCGTCGCCTTCCAGAACCCGGCGGTGGTCGCCCGGTTGGTGCGAGAGCCCGTCGGGTACTTCTTGTCATTGTGGCTGAAGAAGTACCACTCGTTCTGCTCCTCCATCCCAATCTTGCACTTCTCTGCCCATTCCAAATGCATGTGTAATGTCATCAATAGTTTCTGCGTCTAGTCTGTATGTACTACCAACTCATCCGTTGCATGAACTACTTGTTTCAGAATGTATTTATTTATTTCTTACCTTGGAGATCCCAAGGCTCAATTTTGTACAGATCGACGTCTTTTATGACGTCAAGGTCGATCTTGTTGGACGCCACCTTCTTCCTGAGGTAGTAGTCGACGAGTTCCTCGTCGGTGGGGTGGAAACGGAATCCAGGGGGAACATGAGAGAAAGCGTCCATCCTTTCAGTGGATCCCCACCAGTAACTGCACAGGGTAATAACCTGACAAAGATTCAGTACAAGGTTTCATCAGCAATTTAAACATGCCAGTGCCATGCAGTTCAACTAGCTCAAAGCCACGTAAAAGGTCTTCCTGTCATACGCCTACCAGAGTATGTCAAATATCCAATGACGCTAATAAGAAGCCATAGGAGAGAAAATTGAGTTATATATTAGCACCAACATACTAGGTATGTAAATGTAGGTGCCAAGACTAGATCACACATCAATCCTAATGTTTGCTACTGGTGTTAAGACTATTTTTTGTGATACACAAGAGTAATATACTTTAAACAATCTTAACGTCAGCTAATAAGGGGTGCAAAG